AACACTTTGTGAATGTGATGCTTTGGTTAGTAAATCATTTTTCCAGGATGGAGTCTGTCACAGTAGGCTAGACTGGTCTGTTGAGCTAGTTTCCTCTACTTGTATACTAATTTTTTTTTTTTTTTTTTTTTTTGATTTTCTCTTTAATAATTTTTGTGGTCTGACAAAGTTGGTCAAGCATTTCCAAGAAAATTGCAATACATTTTTTTTTTCAAATTTCGAATGTTTAAGCTTGCAATTGTTTGTCCAAAGTTGCAACCATGTTTTAATTTGAAATGTCTTAATGCACCCAGAATACAAAATGAATTGGTTCTCACTTAATAAAATGATGAATTAGTGTGACAGACTTTAGCATTCTGCCAAAAATGCAGCCTCCTCGTTCATTTGAATGAGACCACTATTTGAAGCTGACTTCATTTTTGCTACATCACAGTGTAATGTAATCTGGCAGTGCACTGCTTTGGCCCAAGCAAATATGTGCAAGTGCACATTCCTGGCAAATTACTGTCTAATTAGACTGGTATGATTTTAGAGCATTTACCTAGCAACGGCGTTGTCCTCCATCTCAGTGGAATCTTTTTAATATAGGCATGTGACAAGCTGACAAACCTTTGGATCTATTACTCAGGCTGGACTTCACAAAATCAGGATCGTCACTCAAAGTGTTGCAACTAGCAGATAATGTGCGTCTACTAAAGACTCCATCATTCATAGTTAAAAAAAAAAGCTGATTTTATAAAGTATGTTTTCAGGGCCTTTGACACTGTGCTATTTTTGGAATAAACACCCATTTTGATGTCTACCAGTCTGACAAATAAAAACCAAATCTGAGATATTTCCAGTAGTTTCTTTCACTCTCAAAAAGAAGGAAGGACTGGTCCCTTTCACCATGTAACCGATGTGTCAGAGCTCATTTCTATTTTCTTCTGATTATATTTCCATTCTTTTATTATTATCAAACATTGTTATTCAATACATGAAACAGAAGAAAATAGCTAATATTTGAAGTGTGACAGGAGCTTTAATGTAGAAGCCCTCTGCTTCAGACCTCCTGCCCTGACTGTGCCTAGTGCGGACCTCAGGCTTGGTGTGCACCACTTTAGCATTCTGAATGCCGCTGGAGCTCGATTGATTTGACTTGATTGAGCTGTTAAATAAATTTAGAGTCAGACGTAATCCAATTTTACTTGCTGTCCTCCGTCTTTCTGCATTAGAAATTGGCAGCGTTGTCACATAAACTGCAGTTCTGTTTAAAAGACAGCTTTGAGCACCCAGTGTCTGCCATACAGAGGTTTCTCAGAGGCACGAGTGCACAGCTCCCGAAATGAACCTGCAATCAGTTTCACCAGCCAAATTAATACCTATTATTCTAAGAAACAATCATGCCTCTTCTAACTGATATTTCAGAATCAGATGCAGTGTTATTTTAGGACTCACTTTATTATGCAGCGTGTCAAGTTCATCTCCATAAGCTGAAATAATGCTGTGTTGTGTCACAGGAGCATTACAGTCAGTTACTTGAAAACCCTGTTTGAGCCATTGCTGTGTTTTGATTTGATTGGCTGATGACTGTGACTATAGCTGAGGTGTTCAGATGTTATGGTCTCAGCCAGTGTTGTGAAGCTTTCAGCTGCCATGGGCACATTTTGCTGGCATTTGGTGCTTAGTGGGTGGTAATATCAGACACGGCACATACTAACAGACCCTACGGTATGTGCAAGTCTCTCACTTGTGTGTACACAAATACAGCAAAACGGTCCACTTCAGCCAGTTCAGCAATTATTAGCCTCCTAAAATTCAGCAAAATTTTCAGTGTCTTGAGTTTGTACAGATCAATTTATGTATAAATTGCAATGCAGTTATAGTTTCAAAACTGAAATGCCACCATTCATCAGGATTAGTTTACTCTGTCTGCACTCTGTCATTAATTCAGTGGTCATCTGATAGTGCTTACAGTACAGTGCTTCCCTTAGGTTTACAGCTTTGGTGGTGGTGGGGGCAACCATGTAGAGAACTGTGTAAATAAGGTAAATAACACAAGGCTATTTAGTTTGTTTTAATAAAAGAACAAGATATAGTCCTGTTCTATAGGAAAGATAACGTTAAATGACTTCTGTTGTGATCTGGCGCTATATATTAATAAATAAAATTAACTTGACCTTCAAGGGGGGCCAGAGGTGCTGTTGAGGGTCCCCCCCCCACACCACCACCATATAATGGTCGGCTGCCATGTTGGTACAGGGCCACGCTGCCTCTTAATGCCTGTCTGTCCACAGTTAGAATAATAATTCACTGAATTCATTTTGGTCTATTTTTGCAGAACTTTGGTTTGTTACAGATCCAGAGCACTTCATGTAGATAGAAACACTGTTTCTATGACACAATGTTTAAGATGATCTTGCCCTTACATAGTTCTGTCTTACTTACATGCCACAGTTCTTTTACAAAATTGTTTCTAGTGAAACAGTGTTTTGCTGATTTACATTTTCATTTCACACATTTACAACGCAGTGTTTGCTTCCAGCATCTCAGCGGGGCAGTATTTGCTTCCAGTGTCTTAGGAGGGCTGTGCAGCTGCAGGCTCGGTTTGTAGTGCTTCTGGCCCTTTTCTTTTTTTAGGAACTGACACTTTGTCATGTTAGAAACATTCTAAAGAAGGATTAATTGAGATAAATTCAACATGTTGGCAACAGTAAAATATTGTAGTGTAATGTTATTTCCTGTTGCGTTGTTTTGCAGTTTCTTTCATTATAACGTCCAAAAGCAGCACAGATGGCCGGTGTTTTCTACTCTGTGAAGTAGCCAGAACTTCTCCTGCGGTGGTGGGAGAGAAAACCATCTTGATGTATTTGAAACAAGACTTAAATGTCATGACAAATACATCAGATGTGCATGGAGTGATAGAGTTTTTTAATAATGTGTTCTCATGTTCTCCCCACGCGAAAACAGGTCTAAATAGTCAATATCCAGCTTGGGCCCTTAGGCAAGGCCGTTAGCAGGGAGATGCCCTGCATCAAACCAAGCATCCCCTTTGCATTGCTAAGCTGTGTTAACCAATAACAGAGATCAGTAAAAGTTCGAAATGTGTCCCTATACAGCCGGTGGATAGCTTGGTGGTTAACACCACTGACGTTGGTGCAGCAGGTTGGGATTCGGTTCTTTGTCAGGGCACAGTATCAGCATGGGCCCTTAGCAGGAAGATAGATGCCTTGCATCAGCCCTTAATGCTATCCGCCTAGCGAGGTACTACACAAATGCTACGGCAAGGAGGAGTCAGGATGCCAGGAAATGGGGGAAATATCATCTTCTCCCCAACTGGAGATTGATGATCACAAAATTAGGCTTTTCTAGGATCATTAAGAGTAAAGGGTATGAGTAAGATCATGAGTAAGGTGAAGTAGTGAGAAAGGCGTAACTGAAGTCAGTGGTGTTAAGCACCGAGCGATCCACTGGCTATATAGGGACACATTTCAAACTTTTACTGGTTTGTTTCTCACATACACAACTGGTTAAAGACAGCAGCAGAAAAGGGGGTGCTGGGTTTGATGCACACTGGATATTGACCCCCAACCTGCCATACCAAAGTCAGTGGTGTTAAGCACCAAGCGATCCACTGACTGTACAGGCACATATTTAAAACTTTTACTGGCTTCTGCTCTTGGTTAATGCAGCTTGGCAAAATGATTTAGCATACCCTGACAGAGAATCGAATCACAACCTGCTGTACCACAGTGTGTTAACCACTGAGCTATCCATCTACTCTACAAGAACACATTTGGAGATTTTAAAAGATTAGAATTTATATTACTTTAAGTAAAGACGAGGACAAATGTGAACCGATATGTTATTGACAGTTTTCATTACACGTTGCTGCGGACACATTCCAGTCAGTAGGATACTCTATCATTTTAGCTTTGTTTGGGTCTCAACCAACTCTTCAAGTTCACCACATGCTTCACTATGATCACCAGCTAATTGCTAATATATACAGTATATACGGTCTGCTCTTTTTCTAGACAGGTAGTGTACTATGGGAGATTATCAGAGCTTTTTGTGCTGAAAATGTTTGCTGTGATCATTTTTCATATTGGCGTCACAATTACTGATTAACGCCGGTTACAGATAATGCAGTAATGGAGGTAACTTGGCATCTTGTCTTGGCTGTAGGCAGACTGAGTTTGTGGGTAATAATGATCCTGGACTAGGCTTTCACACCACTCTCTAACCCTCCAGGGGCTGTCAGTCTGCTGTCAGTTTGCCTCTGACTCCTACTGCGGTGTTCGTGTGTGTCAAGCTGATACTGATGTACTTGAGGAGGAGTAAATGTACACTGGGTAGTGTAGTAGTGCTCAGAGTAGGACATTGATCCTTTGAGTACTTGTATAGCAGCTTTACTGTTCTGGATGTCACCCTACTGTTACTTAGGCAGACTTGGACTTGTGTGTTGCGTGTTCAAAGTCTTGGGGTTTTGACTTTGGAGGCTGATACCTTTTCTGACTGGTGTTTTCACAATTGGATAATGGCAGCTTGTATAGCAAGGGATAACAGAAATCGCTTAAGTGTGTTCTCACAGCCTATCTGTAGCTTTGTCGCCAGCGGAGGAGTTAGGAAGATTTTTTTAGAGGTTAAACCTCATCTCTCCGCAGAATATTGCTGCCGCATTAGCATATAAATGTGCTCCTTGTGAGATGCATGTTTAATATGGGTGAGATTTAAAAGTATAATCATACACAAAGTGATGATGTGGCAGTGAATGGGACAAACATAAGACAGGGGAGGTGTACTGATGAGCTGTACCACTCGCTTTTTGGGTGAACTTTTGTGCTTGTGTGCCAGATTGCGGTTAGTGTACATCGTGTGTGTGTGTGTGTGAGAGAGAGACCTAACTGCCTGTGTGAATGACAGAGCAATCAGCAGTGGCCTCAACAGGAGAAATATACACATGATTACTAACCTGTATTCCCTCCCTCCCACCGTCCCCCCAACCCCTTCCCCTTCAGAAACCAAAGCAGAAAGACTGGCATCCTCCTGATGGCTTCATCCTGGGCCTGTGGACTCTAATCCTCCTGGTGTTTTTCAAGACATATGGGATCAAGCACCTCAAACACATCTTCTGAGGTCTCAGCTGTTTTGCCGCAGGACATTGGAGGATGTGAAGGTACAAACAGGAGCTTTAACTGAAGGGACATTAGGGGGAAGGTGCCGTTTGACAGGGTTTTTTTTTTTTTCTGAAAATGGAAAGGAGATGTCAACTGTTTGACCAGACTGTTTAATGCTATTGGTGCCTTTTTTACTTTGGGATTGGGACAAATACTTGAAAGTAATGCATCAGATATGTAAAGCTCCTACTCTGCATGGGCGTACCTTTAGCGTTTAGTGTTTTCTTAACTGAGCTCTAATGAAACGGACTTTGACTTATTTATTTTTGTGGCAAACGTTCTGCTTTGTCAAAGCATTCCATAATTGTGTTGATTTGGTTAAAAATGCACTAAACTGAGTCAGTAGATAAGAATTTAATTTATTTTCGAGAGTGTGCTGCATATTTCAGCAGCTGCCTTTTTGTTTAAGTGCTACTCAGAAAGTCTGCTTGGTCAGAAAAGGAAGATACGAGCTGAGAGGAGGCTGATTGACTGTGAGTGGGCTGTGGAGAGATTACTATTTAATGTCCCCTCTGTCCGTATACATTACACCCCTTGACAGTCATATCACACTTGTGAAGGATAACAATCGCACATAATCCTATCTTGTGTGATGGACCCATCCACTTTCCCATTCACCAAATTGCCCCCTCTGTGGAAACATCCATTAAGTTTCCTGGTCGTGCACTCCGCTGATTGTATTCTTGGTGATGGACAGCTATTTCTCGGCCATTCTGCGTTGTGCACTACAGCAGCGATAAGTGAGTAATAATCTAGTAAGATGCCGACCGTCCCAAATGAATCTCTTATCCTGGGATGTGCACTCCCTCCCTTTCTCTCCAACCGCTTTGCATTAGGCTCATTGTTTGGGGGAGTGACTGATGCTTGGAGCATATGGATCGAATCTGTGGCAGTTTAGTTTTCGGTGCGCGGACCCATTCATTGGGTGCCCACTGCCACTCTCCCTTGCGGCTGAAGTGGAAAGTAGATTGAGCTGGAAATGAAACCATATGTATTGGAAGGCAGCTGCTGCATCAGCCACCAAGGTCCTTTTTTATACATTATTTATGCAATGCTTATTTCTTCCCTGTTTCTTATTCCTCCTGCTCCCCTTTCAGAGACAGCAAACAAGTTTTATTTCCTCATTTGGTGAGATTTTGATGCCCTGATTAAAGATGAAACACTGAATCAAAGGAATGATTTGCATCTTTAACTGCCTGCTTTTCTTTTCTGACTAGATATTGAACTTCCTCAATTACCCTGTTATGCTATTTAAAGGTCTGCCTGGCAGAGCCGACAGTTTAAGCCTATTTAACACCACAAAGACAACGCTGAAATCAGTGCTGCTTTAGTTGACTTAAACACCTGATCTGTTGTTTCCTTACTGGAGTCATTTCAAACCATCCAGAAGAGGTTCTGAAATGCAGTTTCAGCTTGCAGTTCAAGTCTACTATTGTAGAAAGACAGAGAAACCATTGGATACAAGCCTCCATATAAATTCTGTGTATCTCCTCTGTCTTTACCCAATGAAAATTAATGGCAGCCTATCTCAAATAGATTTGTTTTTTCTTAAACCAAAATCAAAATTGACTCCAGCTCCTCTGAGCCCCCCGTTCCTACTTCAGAACTCGCAGATGCAATTCAATATACTCAGCCTTTCAGCATGGTGATGTACTCTCCAATCTCCTCTGTCTCTATAGTTGCCCTGTGCTAATAAAGATCACCGTTTGCCTTCGGTCACACCTAACTTGGACAATAGTAGAGCAGCTATCTCCAAATGGCAGGATGAGTCAGGCAGGATGCTCCGAATATGTCACGCAGGTTGTTCAAACAACGAACGGCATCACTAGTCACCAGCGAGTGCACACATGCACCGATTGTCTTTAGGAGCAGAACATCGTCGACATTAGCCCCATGTAGCATCCTGCTAAATTTAATGATTTACACACAAACACATGCCGTTTGAAGGCAGTGTGTGTGCGTCTGACAGGTTGTCCAATTTCCGTGGAAACTTGATTTCCAGCAGCTTGCCTGTCAGTGAGCCTTTGTAATGTCAGTCACTCCCAGGAATGATAATGCTAATTTCTGTCTTAGATTCTCATTCATCTGCAACAACAGCTGTGGCATAACTCGTGCTCAGCAGTGCTCGCTTACTTTATTTTCCCATTTAGGCGTCCTTAAACTTTGAGTAACAAAACAACAATAAAGGAGAAGAGAGATAAGCTATCACTTTGGTGGTGATTGCATAGACAGAGCCCAGTAATAAATAGGAACAGCTTTCCCTTTTCTATCCAGATTGCTTTGTTTGAAATTCATTCATTTATGCAAAGTTGATTTTACACCAAGTATAAACTAAGAAAGCAAGGAGTATTCAAATTGACAGTTTGATGCAAAAATGTATTATAAGCAAAGGAAATGCATGTTAAAACTGATGAGGCTGACACTTCTGCTTTGACCCTGGAGACAGTAGCTTTAGTAATAGTACATCTTTTATCAGCTACTGTTTTCAAGGTCAAGAATGAAGTTTCATTCTCACAAAGTGCTCAGAAAAATGGAAATTTAAGCATCTGCATTTCCATTTGGAAGAATGTTTGTTTTTTTCCCCCAGTGATCTTAAAAAGTCCTGAATTCAATATCTCTACCAAGCCTATAGTGGTATTAAAAAGTCTAAGTATTTTCTCTTGCCTGACTTGGCAGTAATGTTGGATATAATTTGACTGTCGGGGGATGTTATTCACCTATAAACTAAATTTGTTGTGATGGAGGACTGGCATTGGGAAGATGCAGTTTGGCATTGTGCAGGAAGCTGTTTTAATGATCAGACCTGTAGCAAACACCATCAGTACAAGGGCTGGTTTTACCAAACACTTAAAATACCTTAAATGTTTAATTGATAAAACCACCAATTAGTTTCAGAGGCACATTGCATTCACAAAAAAATTAAACTTTTTGGAGAATCTGATCTTGTAATTCACAATTATAAGATCTTTTCTCATTATTATGAGGTAATGCAGGGGCTACAACACTGCACAACTTGCCTGAAAAACATCAGTCTTTAACAAATTCTTTAGTATCAAAGTACTAATTCAGTGATAGTTGTCAGTTCAGCAAATATGAACTGTTAATAGCGAATTCTGATACTTAGTGTTCCAAATTTAGGCCAATGTTGCTGCCTACAGTGTAACTCACTATACAGGCCTACGATGTGCCGAGTTGGAAAGCTTCAGGACCTGATTGAGAATCATTGAGGTTTTAATATTTTGTAAGTATTTATGTAATTCTGACAGCACGTCCAACACTACATAGCAAAAGTGACCTGTTACTAGCTAATTTGGCATACCTAGTGTTCCAAACTGTAAACAAATATAGGCTAAACATGTTTGCTATGTGCTGTTGGATGTTCTGACAACCATCGCTGAATTACTTTGATTAAAAAAAGTTTATAAAAACCTGTCAATGTTCCAACCCCTACATTATCTAATTGAGAAAAGATCTCGTAATTATGACTTGCTATCTTTTCTCATAATTACAAGATATTAAGTCACAGGTCTCATATTTACGAGATGCGGATCGCCTAATTGCAAGAACCTAATCTCGTAATTATGAGACCTTTTCCCATAATTATGGGATCCTTATCTTGTAATTTTTAGATGGTAAGTCATAATTACTAGATAAGATCCTACAGTTTTTCTTCTTTGGTGAATGCAATGCACTTCTGTAAATAGGGGTGTAACGATACAACCAGCTCAGTTTGCTTCGATGCGTTTACGAGAACACAGTGAAACTGAAAACTAAAGTCAGTTTCTTCTTAAATATGTAAATTTTACAAAAACTGATTTGTTTCATTTTCTTATTTTAAAAAAATTCTATTATTATGTAGACTAGTGTAATTAGTGTGCGGCTAATGGCTCGTGTCGCTGACCCTAGTGAAGATCAGTGTTGACAGTTAGATATCACTAGCTTACTGGCCCCTCTTGTTAACCTAAATAAATGACCGCAGGGCCTTGACTTGATGTTTTCAATCCAGTTTTCATTTTGACGATCCATGGTGGCTCATTTCTGAATTACGACATGCTGTTCCAGGTATTGTCACACCCCTACCACCTCTATATTTTGTTGCTTACCTGGGCCTAGGCTCGCTGACCCCTGCTGTCACAGACTATGGATGGGGACGCCACCTCTCTGGTGGAGGCGAAGTAGGTGCAGGAGGTGGAGTGGTTCCAGTTAGATATCACTAGGATCACCTCTATGCATGTAACAAAAATAATAGTTAGTTGCAGCGATGACTTTTTTTTGTTGTTTTTTTGAGAGGGTTAGAAGAGGATAAAAACATTTAGTTTTCATAGTTTGTCATACTTTTTTTTTTTTTTAATGAGCCATCCTGAAGCAAGTACATTTTATTGATCTAGTAAAGCCTCAACTCTCTAACAAGTGAAGTGTCCATGACCCACTACAGAATTTTCCCTTTAACAGCTTGTTACCTTAATCTACGGTATTTTACTTCCCTATAGGTGCTGTGACAGTACTATTTTCAAATACAAAAAAAAGGCTTCTGCACTCAGTTACGAATGTGGCCAGGGATCTATTTGTAGCTCTGGGGAGTAATGAGAAGGCCATGTAGCTTTGCCTGTCTTTCATTATTATTGCAGAATGTCACAGTCTGATGTCACAACCAGACAGGAAGAGATGGACTGAAAAGTGGAAATAGCATCTGCTGTCAGTGGAGGGTGAAGTTAAGTCTCTTGCCCCC